AAGATCTGTTCAATCTGTCCCCACAGGGCAGGGACAGTTCTTCGAAGACTGCCCCCTATGGACATTCTAGTGGTAGTATTTCATCTGACTCCAGTCTCCTAGGCCGCCATCAACGAGCTAAGGGACTGGAAACCTATTGCCTCTCTCCAGTTGAGGGACACACAGGAGGACTAGGACGTGGGTCCACTCCACTGTGATCCAAATGCCTTTGCCTGTGCTGAGACTGGCAGTGGGTATCTAAGGCTGTCACTGAAGCCAGTCACACAGTACCGGGACGTAGAAGCAGCTAGGTTCGGAGCAGGAATTCAAAGGGAGCCATGGAGTAGTTAGTCTCTTGCTCACTCAGATTGTTTATTGAGAATAAGAGTCAGGCCATCTCGCCTGTGTGACACTGCAACAGGAGTCACATACATGCTAAAGAGAGTCCAGAGAATTGAGGCCTTCAACAGTACAGAGCCACAGGCACAAAATCAAAATACAAATGACCCCTCCCCCGACCCACCCACCCACCCAAGTTTGGCAGGAAAACAAATACAGTCAGAGGCCTGGGATGGAAGGGCACTTACTTTTCAATAAGGCAGTTACAAAGCGGATAAACCCCGTTCCCCAAATATACTCCAATGGGCATTACAGGCAATAGAAAGCAGGCAAGGGTGGCGGGACAGTAAGCAGAGGGAGGCTTTGTGTTCAGAGGTGCCAGAGGAGGGAAACAACCCCCTGGAGATGCTCCACCTTAAGCTCCAGGCCTTCTTTGCCCACTTTAAACATCACAGTGACTTTTCGTTTACCAACCATAAACTAGAAGCAGTCTGTAATCCAATGAAATAGTGGAAAGGTACTCCAAAGGCACCGTGCTCCCCAAGGCATGAGCCTGAACCCCTCCCACCTCCAGTCTGACTGCCCTGCTTAGTTCAGTAGAGACCCAGAGTCAGGGCCATCACAGTTTCAGAGACAGGGTGGAAGACAGGAGTTGGACAGAGACAGAGCCCACTCTATAAGGACAAAGAAGGCAGACCCCACTGGTGTTGGTCCAACTTTTGACTTCTCTGAGCCTAATGTTATCAACAAGACTCACGCTTAAGAATAACACAACTGAGTTTTAAAAATTGTAAGGTAAGTCTCATAATGCTCTAAATAATTATGATTCTAGGTTGGGTCACATTCATTGCTATCCTGGATGACTGGGAGCTGAGGTGGGCCTGCCTGCTGGGGTCTATTCCTTAGCCAGTCATCTTGCTAAGCTTGGCAGTCCCTATTCGCCTGCAATTCTGCAGGTCAGTTTGTCCCCGGAGCTCATCTGCCCTTGAGAGGCTCCCAGGGATAAGCTCTGAGGCGTGCCAGGGCAGCTTACCTTAGATCACCTGTCACAAACAAATGACTAGAGGGTGCAATCCAAGGCCACAGAGGCCCCTTGCTAACATGTGACCTTGGCAAATCTCTTGGGACTTTATTTCCCCCATTCACTTAGAAAAACAATGGGATAGCAACCTTGAGTGACTCTGAGGAACTGATGTGCCTCTGACACCGAGACTCAGAGAGTGCCTTCAGCTTTTGGTGTGACGTCTAACTGGGAACCAGAAGGGATGAGCCCTCAGCAACCTAGAGACCTTAAACTCCAGGCAAAGCCATGTGCTGTTTAGCACCCTCCAGCTGAAGTTTCCCCTCAGAGATGCCACGGGTTTGGTGTGGCCAGCATGAGACTAAAACCTCCACTGACTTGGACTCCTGTTAGCAGGCTGATGCCCTGTTGGCAACTTTGGCATGAGTGAGGGGTGAGGGGTTTCTCCAACATCTCCAACACAGAACCAAGACCAATAGACCAATATTGAGGGGTAAGGGGGCATGAAAATACATTGTATCCAGCTGTTCCCTTCTGTAAAAAAGATAAGATGTGTGGGATGGGTCCTTTGTTGGATGAGGGACTCTGCCTACATTCCCCCCCCCCTAATTAGAGAGCATGGAAAAGCCAGAAGCTAACAACAAAACAGTCTTCCCTAGGAGGTAGTGAGCTCTCTGTCCTTGGAGGTGACTGCTTCTTGGCTGAGATGGGTATAGGCAGAATGTCAGCACCAATGGAGAAGCTGGACAGGAGGACTCAAGACTCTTCCTGTCGTACCACAGAGAGCCTTCAGGTGGCACTGGTGAGGCAACTTCTTTGGGACTATGTCAGGGACCACCTGCTGCAGTGGACAAGCTATCCTATCACCACATACCAGGCAGTCTCGTGGTAAGATGTTAACAGAAAGTGTGTGCGTACACACACACACACACACACACACACACACACACACACACACAACCTCTACCTGCAACATTAAGGTTTGCTCTCTGAGAGGCTGTTATGAGTATAGCTACCTATGGTAGAAGCATGCAGTACACAGAAGCCAAGTTCCTTGAGTCACAACCCCCACCTGGAATTTTGGTTTGCCATCTCTTTTTTCACAGTTTGTTCCATGAAATGAGAATTCTGTCCATTTGTGCTGTAAAAAATTTCAAGCCCCAAATGAATGGCAGGCTATGAATGTCTCCATGGAACCCCTTCAGGGATCCACACCAGGCTGAATCAGAGACAGGAGCCATACCACTTCTGGGCTTGACATTTCAGTTCTGCCCAGGAGCACCAAGTAGAGAGACCACACTGAGCCATCACAGGTGTGTGTGTGTGTGTGTGTGTGTGTGCATGTGAAGCATGGAAAGGTGATATGAAAATACAGGCAGCCAAAATAAACACTGCTCTCTCACTAAACCTGCTGCTCCCCAAGCCAGGCCTGGGCCCTTCTTGAAGGCAGCAGGCTCTTGCCCATGGCTAGACCAGCAGATGGAAGGCCAGGGGCTGCTCCAATGACACAGCACACTTCTGAACATGAGAAAAACGTTTAAGTTCAAATAGCTTTGCCTTTTCTCTCAGGCAATCTGTTTTGAAAGGTTGAAAAAGATAGCCCTGGCCTCTACTTCTCCAAGGTTGCTTGCATCAGAGGAGGACAAGGATTCTGAGGTGGCATCTGGCTGGAGGGCAGACATTCCCCAGCTTGGATCTGGACATAAAACATGGGAACAGATGGAGTCTAATGCCACATCTTGCCCAGAAGTGAGCCTCTCCACATTTGCTACTAAATGGCAAAACTTGCAATAAAGTGGCATGCCTCTGTCCCCAGTGGCAAAGGGTTAGTCTAAACTAGACTTTATACTAAAGAAACAGTCACACGACTTACATGCCCACAGTTTTGGTTTAAGTATTAGAAAGCTACATTTTCTTGCTTGATAAGACACTGACATTTCCACAGGGCCAGCTAAGTTAAAGGTTCCATTTGCCCTCAGACACCAGCTTCTCCTGGGCTCTTCTGTTGGCTCCATCAGTGGTAAGAGGGAGACTGACTTCTGCATGTTCAAATCAGACCCTTCTATCTAGTTCTGCCTGAACCAGAAGCACCCTGGGAAAGCAAAGCTCTCATGTCCAAAGACTTGTGTAGAATTTCCAGTCAGTTTGTGGGGCAAAGGGTGTGTAGGAGGCTAAGAAAAAGATTCCTAATTTCCAACCATCCTGTATGTACTGGGCCAAATGTGTCATCTCCCTATTCCACTTCAATTCTGAGTTTTTCTTAAGCCCTAACAGGAGAACAGAGGCCTGGTCTAGCATTTTAATATCTCCCAGATGGCTTATCTGAATGCCATCTCAGAGATCAGAACTAACCCTGCACTGAACCAGTGGAGGAACATGTGAAGAGTCCCTCTCATGCTTCTGTGGAGTGGGACCAGGGCCCTCCTTTAATACTTAAAAAATTACCTTAGCAAGCATTCAAAAAGGAGGCAGATTCTGAGTTTTACACCTGAACCTCAGGTGGCAGTGACTTTTCTTGTCCAGGCTCATGATCTCCAGCCTCCTGGGGCCAAGGAGCCAAGCCCAGCCACACTGTCTTTGCAGAGCTGGGCTTCAGAGCTGGATCACAGGGACTTTGGCAGCTCTCCTACAGGTTGTATACTGAGGACTGGAAACACGAGCCCAGACACTCCACTTCTGTCCGTCAGAGCACTTCCTGCCAGAAGCGTAGCAGGTCATGATGTACACTTCACTCTGGGTAAAATGCAAAAGTCCCCTATGGAAGGATATGGTTTTGTTTAAAAAAAAAAATCACTTATTTTGTGTGTGTGCATGTGTGTGGGGACAGTCTGCTACATGGCCAGGAACTGAACTCAGGTCATCAGGCTCGGCAGCAAGTGCCTTTGCCTGATGAGCCATGTCCAGGTTCATTGTTTTGTTTCTGAGATAGGGTCTTTAGCCCAGGTCACCCTTGAGCTCACTATCCTATCACATTCTCCTGAATGGTGGGACTAAAGCATGCAACATCATGGCCAGCTCGTGATGTCTTTGTGTTGATTCTGAAATCTCAACAGACAGTTTTGCATATGAAACTATCCAGAGATCCTTGCTTGTCTGGACTCTCTGTGGAGGGGCAGGTGTCCTCCACCTCTAGTGGGTAAGCAAAGAGCTGCACAAAGCACAGGTCTCAGGGGAGAAGCGAAGCAGAAGCTGCGTGGCTGTGACAGCTCTTGGCCAACACACACTGAGCGCCCACTGCGTACAGGTCACGGGACAACACACATTGAGTGCCCACTGTGTACAGGTCACAGGGCAAGTTGGGGACTACTGTCAGACTGATTTGCTACTAAATGGCAAAACTTGCAATAAAGTGGCATGCCTCTGTCCCCAGTGGCAAAGGGTTAGTCCAAACATGGGCCTACTCAGTAATTCCACTGTCACTGAGTCACGCTGCCAGGGCTGGGCCTTGCTCGTGGCAGCCTGGTACTGCATGGTGACTGCCAAATGCAGAGCACCCCAGCATTTCTAGGACAACTGAGTTAAAGCTTTGCTGAGCCCTGTAGACACAGTTTTAAAATCCCTTTTATAACACTGTTTTTTTTTTTCCCAGTCTGAGCAGATATCTTAAAGTCTTTCTACACACATGCTGACCTGTGAGAATATAATCCTCCTGACAGAGACATTTACAGTATCCATCATTCAAACTTTATTTACAGTAGATATGAACAGTCCTTATTGGCTGAGATGTTGCAGGCCACCTGTCATCAAGCAGCACATGGCTGTCCTCTCAAGGCCCCGCCTCACCCGGGCGGCTGCCCCTCACTCAAGCTGCTTGCTGCCCTCTGACTTCTGGTCCAGTCTGCTCCTGTTACTCTTCACCATGTAGATGAAATAGGCAAGCGTCTCTTTCTCATTCACTGGTATGTTCCTGAAGTGTCGGCTCACAGTCTACACAGGAGAAAAGACCAAAGTCCCTTAAGCTATGTACAAATCGGGCCCTACATCTTACACTCTGCAAAGAGGGAGCAGGAGCTGCTTCCAGAAGCGACTGTCTGGCACTTAGGCTTGCCAAGGAGCTGCAGGATGTAGTGGGCCCCTTGCTCCAGAGCTTAGCTGCTTTTTTCCCAGGTTACCAAAGGTGTACCACTGCGGCCCAGGACAGCACCAAGGAGTGGGTGCACTTCAGTAGCATCTATCCATCCCTGGCATGACTTCAGCTACCCTGTGGTGTAAGGAGGCTGAGACTTCCATGGTTGGCCAATTGCCACCAAGCCTTTCAGGCTCTGGAAGTAGACCAAAAAATAAAAAAATAAAAAAGGCTTTAAAAATTGTGTCAAGCTGGGTGTGGTGGTGAATGCCTGTGATCTCAGCGCTCAGGAGGCCAGACAGGTCAGGAGTCCAAGACCAGCCTCAGCTGCCTTGACCACACACACACACACACACACACACACACACACACGTAACAAAACAAAATAAAAAACCACCCCAAATGTCAAATGAACAACTGAAACAGATGTGTCTGGCCCCAAGAATTCCTTTAAGTGGGGACAGCCGCTCCTGGGAAAGTTTGTCAGTATAGAGAAGGGTGCTCACTGCTCATGGCCTGACTCTGCTATTGTTGTCTTAGCCCTGGAAACACACTGCCTCCTCCTCCCTACTCTTCTTTGTAGCTGGCAATGATTAAGCAGCAAAGCTGTGTGCTGCTGTTGTATCTCTATGCAGGGAAGGAAAGGCTGAAGAGTGGAGACACATCAGACAGAGCCCACAGCAAGCCTGTGGGCGGTAGCTCTTTGGTAGACTGAATGGATGGAGGTGGTCAGGGCAGAAGAAAAGACTTGGAAATAGTAAGTCTCTGGATTGTGTTTTTCTTTCTCTGCCTCTCAAATTTTTTACAACACAAGGCAGGAGAATCAAGAGGGAAGAGGAAGCCAAGTGTGTGTCATGCGTCTAGAAGGAAAGCTGAGGCAGGAGGATCAGTTGAGCCCATCAGACTGCTAGATGACACACAAGAGAGGGAAAGGGAGAGTTGCTAATGGAGACATGCCGTCACAGACAGAAAAGTTAAAAACTCAACGAAGAAAAAATGTTCTTGGGTGCCACTAATTATATAAGAAAAGGCTTCCACTAACATCAGAGGTCAAGAGTGTGTGTGTGTGTGTGTGTGTGTGTGTGTGTGTGTGTGTGTGTGTGGTGGGAAAGGTGTGGGGGAAGCAGGGAACCTGGAGGTTGGAGGGAAAGCTCACGAGTAGATGCTTTGTCATGTAAGAATCCTGGGTTTGCTCTTCATTACCCAAAGAAAAAAATCAAGCCTAAACCTAAAGACACAGTGGATAATCACACTGACACACTGATAAGGACTGATTCTCAAGAACCTTGCAAAAATGACATCACAATGCGGAATCAGGAGTCCTCAGGTTGCTGTGACTTTTAAAGCAAGTCCATCTCTCTCTCTGTGCATGTCTTCCTTTGGAAAATAGGATTTTCTTCTTTCCACGTGGACTATTCCAAAGCTCTTGATGACCTGTGGGAGGGGTAGCTGAACACAGGAGCTGGGTCTCTCTGATTTACCCACCTACCTCTGCTAGCTGGGCCTTGTTGAAGCCCGGTCTGGTCTGCAGCTTGTAGTGCCGTTTGTAGCGTCGGAGAGTGTTCACCTGCAGCTGGAACAGATCAACCTAGAAAAGAGGAGAGAAAGTTATATCTGTGCCTACCCTGCCTAACACACCCTAGGGAGGGAAGACTCTGTCCACCAAGAACTAAGGACTGGCAAGGAAGCCAAAGGCAGGTGTGGAGAGGGCTCAGCAAATATGGAGGAGGAAGGCTGAGACAGAAGGGAAGTGGTAGTAGAGAGGAAGTGAGGAGGTGAGAAGGGAGAGGATTCTGAGTGTGGACACCTGGGGCAGTGATGGGGCTGGGGTAGCAAGCAGTGGGGTGGCATTTCCTGGGTTGGAGGGGAATGGGGATCTTCAGGGTGGAGCTGGATGGGCTGGAGGGCCATAGGGAGCTGCAGCACTGGCTGCACAGCGATCCACCTGCAGGTCAGGGCTGGCATCTCTGCAGACAGCTGGATAAGGGGCAAGAAGGGCTCTTCTCTCTTGGGTTGGCTAACCTAGGAAGGGGGTAAGCTACCCACTCATGAAATACAGAAGGTTCAGAAACGTGGGTTGCATTTACCTGCCTCCAAGGGAGGCTCTTGATTCAGGCCAGTGGAGCTCATTTGAAGGAAAAAAAAAAAAAAAGAATGACCAATATGAGGGTCCAGAATACTTTTCTAAAATGCTTGGTCAAAGGGATTCAGAAACCGGAATATATCTTTATGAAATAACAGCAATGCTACAGGCAAAAGATATCAGAAAGTAAGGCTGGGGAGGGACATGGGGAGAGGTGTGAGGACATGGCTGAGTTTCCCAGCCTCTCCGCCCCGGACTAAAGTTTACCTACTTCTACTCCCAGCCGTGAAGTGTGCTCACAGGCAAGAAAACGAGGCATCAGATGCTCAGTGCACACTGGGCATAGCTCCTCTTTCACAAAGCCCGAGAGGGAGCACTGCGGAAGGAAACCCAGCGAACCTTCCTGGGGACTCCCTTAGCACACATGGGAACCTTCTGGTGAGAAGCTGGGACTCATGGTCTTATACAGTGCTCTTTAATTTGGGGGCACATCCCAAAGGACATGTGGCAATGTGTGCAGGACATGTTTGCACTGTCACAACTCAGACAATGATGTCATTGCCTCTAGTGATCAAGGGTGTGTGTGTGTGTGTGTGTGTGTGCTGCTGCTGCTGATCCTATCATACTCATGACATGCCCTTACCCCCAAATGTCAAATTTCAGCACATGCTAAATGACTGCAGTGTGTCTCTGGGGACAAGTCTTAGCCCAGCTGGTGACACTGACAAGATGAACCTTTACACTCAGGTCAGAGAAGGCAGCAAGAGCTTTCTAGATCACAGACTGAATATTAACTTTAAAGGCAAGAACAGGGTGCTAAAAGAGGCAACATCATGTTAAGCACTGGTTGGGCTCAAAGGCAAAAGTCCTGCACTCTACTACAAAGAAGATGAGCAGAGCCTCTAGTACCACCTGGGACCTCAGAGCCTGGCCCTGTCTGAAGAGTGAAGGGCAAGCAGGCAGAGCAGCTGATTACCAAGCTTTCAGTCAATGCTACTGAAAGTCTAGAGAACTCTTTTTCAAACACACCGCAGCAAGGCAAGCAGACAAAGATGACTGATTAGTTCAGAAGACACAATAGCCAGGGAGAAAGCTGGAGTCTGAACCGACTACTCTCATTCTCTGGCTGGGAGGGAGGCTTGGGTCACAATCTATTCTACCTGCTCTCTCTACCAGCACTGTCCTTTACCTCAGGAATGTCGGCATCATGCTCCGGGGAATCTCCGCCATCATCACTTGTCTTTCTCTTCCTTTTATTTCGGACGCTCTGGATGAAATTTTTGTGGAAGTCGCAGATATACAGGTGCCTTACCTGATTGGAAGAAACCTAAAATCAGTGTTATCGACCCCATGGAACCTGTGAAATCATGAGCCTTCTCTTTTGGCCAGGTACTAGAGATGGATGAGTGAAGGCAGGCCACACCTTATAACCATACTACTATAGGCTACAGAAGAAGAAATACAGAAGGCTGGTGGTACAGCCCAGTGGAAAGTACTTGCTCAACTTGGGTTCCCCTGCACCCCCCACCAACACCACAGTGCATTAGCACCCAAACCTCTACAGTATAGAGATGGTAGCTGCAGCTGGGAGAAGGCTGGCCTTGGGTACAGGAGGACTTATGAGTTTGCAGTGGGCAGAGACAGGGCCGCAGGACAGTGGATGGTACTCCTACTGTAGGGTAACACTGGAAAACTTGACTCCTGCTACTTCACATCTGATCCACAAAGGAGAACCACATAAAAGAGAGTGGACATCACTCTGATTTTCTAATAAACACTAGAGTATATTAGTAAAGGTGCCAACAGCAGCTCAGATGTGAAGAACATGTTTTTATTTAAGAACGTAAGTAGCACAGTTGACTGGAGGAACCACTAAGACTCTGCAGGACCCAGTGACTGTGTAAACGGCCCTGGGTAGGGACAGATGGTGCACAAATGTTCTGGGGAGACATCTGAACTGGAGCTTGGTCCTTAAATCCTTAAAAATAAAAGTAAGCTGACAGGAAGTCACCACCAATGAATTCAGGCTGTTTCGTGGATAGAATAGCGAAAACTGTTTAATCGGGTGATTATCAGCTTTGTGTGGTTGGACTGGTGAGTCATGAGTCATTTGGAGTTTACACTGTGATGCTGTCTTGCATACAGCAGGCGCTCAACAAGTGCTGATGCACCCATGTAGGCACTCTCATACCTAAAAACAGCTTTTGCTGGTAAAAGACACCTCTTACAAGGCCAGAAATTGGGATGGCTTCTGCCAGATTCCACTGAACTTTTTCCAATGAACTTTTTGGACATGGTATATGCCACTGTCCTCAAGAGTAATACCCAGGTGAAACAAGACTACAGGACATGTGTCCCCTGTCCCATCCCTGGCAGCTGGCACTTGAGTTGACAAATGTAAGCAAGTGCCTCTTGAGAGAGCAAGCTGCTTCCCACAAGCACAGTGGGAAGAGCAGCAGAATGGGGTGTTCCTAAAGCTTAGGTAGGAAGATGTCAGACCCAGAGCGGGGAGGTGGACAACCCAAGGCTCCTGAAGCCTCCTCTATGATTTGCAACTTCAAGCACTCTCCAGAAGCAAAGAAGGAACATGTCACTTGCAAGTTGGCTATGTACTAATATATTACAGAGGCAGCCAGTGTCCACCTGAACGGTTGTGGTGTCTTATTTTAAAAGGGCTTTTGCTAGATTCTTTTATAAGACAGCTACTCTCTGTTCTGTAATGTTCAAATCTAAACCACTTTTCAACAATCTCAGGGCTCAGCAGCCTTTGTGGTGGTGTGGGGCCACGAAGGTGGGAGAGAAGGCTCACTGTGGTTGTCTTCCCCCCCCCCCCGTTTTACTTGCTATAACAGCTAGAAATTCTTGTAATACAGCACTTACTTGGGATTGAATTCCTTCCCAAGTCTGTGGAATGAAGTAGAAACTCTTTCAGAGATAATGACTCTACACCCCCACCTTGAAATGGTCTGAGGCTGCACGTCTAACCACAAGCCTTCCCAAGTACTGCCTTTGGGGATGCCACTGTAAGGCTGAGGAGGCCTTTCTTCCAGATGATGTGTGTGCGTGTGTGTGCGCGCGTGACATGTTCAACACTGCTCCACATGGCTTCCCCATGGGGTAGTGGATAAATGGAGTCTTTACTGCAACAACAAAGCCATCCAGATGTGAACACTGCTCAAGGATAACTGTGCCAGCAGCCCACACAGGAGGCCGGCACTGTTTCCATGTGGATAAATTCATCGCCAGTCTCAAATTCCCTTTCACTCCCATATGTGATTAGCAGGGGACACCTGAGTGTTTAGCCAGGTTTTGCTTCAGAGTAATTTCATTCATTCATTCACTTATTTATTTATTGACAGACATTTGTTAAAAAAAGTCCCAATCATTTTAAAAAACGGCACGATTCCAAACTGGACTATACTGGTTGACTAAATAAAACTGAGTGTGCAAGAGAAGAGTCTAGAAGCAGGATGATAACCTTATTTATTATAGACGAATGAAACTTGGGTGTAGGGTTTGGAAGCAAGCCAGGTAATAAGTGGGTTTAGGAAATTAGCCAGCTTCTAAGTGCAGTGTGCTCTTGGCGCCATTGCTTCCTATCCCCAGCCTCAGTTTCTGCCACATCAGAAGTGTAAAGATGGGCTCCCCTTTCCACTACCAGGCAATGTCTGATTTCCCCTAACCGTTGAACAGTAATCATTCAAGCTCCCTAAATATTAAAAGTTCCTTAACTTAGTCTCAATTCCTAACCTGGAAGCTGCCACTCAGGGCTTGCAGCAACAGATGTCAAACTGAAAAGTTCTTAACCGGTTGGCAGTAGGCACATCTTCAGAACCGTTACCAGAGTAGGTGAAATCACTCAGGAAGTTTCTTATAATTAGCCACAAAGCATAGGGCAATCCCATTCAATGTTAAATTTGCACCTCTCTACCTCCATCGGTATTACCAAAGATGCTAACCCTCTCAAGAAAACTGACTCCCCGCCCCCTCCAATCACATCCACAGCAAGTCATTTAAGACCCGGCCTTGGCCTTATTTCTGCCACATCTCAGAAAAACTCATTCGCTGCCAGCGAAGCGGGCTCTGTGCTGCGCTGCAGAGATGGAGGCCGCGGGGAGACAGGAAAGTCGCGGCCACCTTGGTAGTGTCTGAAAGAGCGACAAGGTCCCTGGAGGGAGGACGAAGTTGGAGAAGATCCTCCGGGTCTCATCGTCACCCCTTCTGCCCAATTCTTGCAAAAGTAATCCACCTCTCTCTGCTCTACTATTCGGCGCAACAGTGACAGCTGGAAACTGCTGTCGCTTTCCCAGGCAGAGTGTGCCAAGCCCTCCCCGGTTTCCCAGCCCATCCTCGGGGATGCGGGCTGCGTCGCGGAGCACCGAGCGGCCTCCACGAACCTGAGTCCCCTGTTTTGCACAGACTGCGCGGCGAGGCCCAACGCGCGGAGCGTCCCCGGGGTCCCTTCCCGCGGCCCTGCGCTGCGCCCCTAGACTCACGCTCTTGTCTATGTCCAGCTTGAGTTTCTTCTGCGAGATGCTTTTCTGTACCCTCTTGCTGAAGGAGGCGTTGCCCGCGGGCCGGACGCAGCGCTCGCCGTCCGCGATGAGGCAGCAGCTCTGGCCGTAGCCCGGGGCGGCGGCGGGGGCGGCAGGGGGCCCTTCGCGGCTGTCCTCCTCCGTGCTGAAGCCGTTCATCTCCCCGCACCGGCCCGGCCCCTCCGGGGGAGGGCCCCTGTAGGCCACTCCGCGGCTGCTAGCCCCGCGGGGCAGCTCTCCGCCAGCCCCGTGCCCGGGTCCCACGGTGCGCCCCGGGTCAGGCGCGCTATGAGCTCCGCGAGGCCCGGCTGCCCTGTGCTCCTGCAGCCCGGGCCCCGGCGGGGATGTACACGCTGAGGCTCCGGCCCGGGCTCGCAAGGCTCCCCCGGGATCCGGGCCCGGCCGCCCTGGGGCTCCCGAGGCCCCCGCCGGCTCCCGCCCGCTCCGCGCCGCGCAGCAAAGTCTCCACCCCGCGGCTCCCCACGCGGGGGCCCGGCCTCGAACCTGCCGTGTCCGGGCCCCGCGGTGTGCTCGGCCCGCCCCAGCGCCTGGCCGCTCGGCGGCGCCCCGAGTCCCCGCGGCAGCCCCTGGGCCGCCCCGGCCGCCGCCCGCCCGACGCGCCGCACCACAACAGTGCGCTCCCCCGCCCGCCGCGGCACAGCGGAAGTCCCGCCTCCGTGCGCTCAATGGCTGTATTCTTTATATGGGCGGGGCCTCCGTCGCCGCTGGCAGTTCCCATTGGGCGCCAACGCTGCCGGTCTCCGGTGCCAGGCTACTTCCTGGACTCTGCTGGGATGGGTTCAAAGTAGAGAAAGTGCAAGAGGGAAGAGTTACCCGGGCTAGAGAGGACAGCGGGCCCGAGGTTTAGTCCTGGCTGTGGAGTGGGATGCTGAGATAGGTCTGGAGGGATGCAGGATGTTCTAGTTCCAGTTAGGATGGTGAATAGGGTCCTCGCTCCGAGGAGGTATGCTGAGCGGGGTCTGGAAGAATGCAGGATGTCTTGGTCGGGGCAGGAATGGTGAGCAAGGTCCTCTGGCTCTGGAGCGAGATGCTGAGTTAGGTCAGGAGGGATGCGGGGGGCCCCCATTTCAGGGAGGGGTGCTGAGCGGAATATGGAGGAACGCAGAGTCTCCACTCCGGAATGGGATGCTGAGCAGGTTCCCAATCCCAGCGTGGGATCCTGAGCAGGAGCTCGGCTCCATAGCGGGGTTGTGGGCAAGCCGGTTATGGAACGAAATGCTAAGCCAGGTCTGACAGGCCGCAAGTTCTCGTATAACGGGCTGGATGTTGAGTAGGGTCTACGGGGAACAGGGACAGGCTTGCAGCAGAGATCACGTTCGCAGTGGACTGAAGCATCGACGTTTGGAGGAAAACTGAGGGACAAACGTGGGAGAAGGGTATGGGGAAGGGAACCTTAGGTAGAAAGTGCTGCCAGTGAACAGACTGGGCAAAACGGAAAAGCCTGGGCTGTAAGACCTGCGCAGCAGCCGGATGCAGAGTGCATGTTGTGAGACATAAAGCTAGTGTGGAAGTGCATATGCGCATAAAGAGGCTTGTTGAGAGACTGGGGAGGTCGGACAGGGGAAATAGCCGTCTTTGTGTACAGCACGAACCTAGGAAGGGGTACTTGAGAGATAGTCAGGGCAACCCTTCCCTGGGTTAATCCCTCAGGATGGGCTTTGTGGGCTGAGGCAAAAGGTGAAAGACCCTTAGGCCACCAACAGAGATAGGTTGGGGACTGATTTGTAGTTTTATTGCTTCAAGCTACTCGGAGCAACCAGGGAGGAGGCCACCTCACCGTGCCAAGACCTGGGTGTCACCTCGCCCTTCCTGCAAGGTCACAGGGAATTTTTTGAGGGTTGGGTCATACAGTCAGTAGTGTTGTGTGGGAGGGGTATGGATATGGGGTGGGTGTCAGGTAAGCTCTTAAAATCTCTTCAGAGGTCTAAAATGAGTTTGTACAGTTTAATTTTATTAATTTCACATAGGAAGCAGTATGTTATAAAATATACCTACCAGATAAAAATGTAAGCCCACTGTGGGGGCTGAGGCTGTAATTTGGTGGCAGAGTGGTTGAGCAGCACACTTAAGGCTCTGGATTTGTTCCACAGCACTGCTTAAACAGGATGTGTGGTGGCACCGGTCTGAAACCCCATCTTTTAGCAGGAGGATCTGAAGTTCAAGGTCATTCCTTTTTTTTTTCTTAAAGAATTTTACTTATTTTATGTATATGAGTACACTGTAGCTGTCTTCAGACACAACAGAAGAGGGCATCAGATGGCTGTGAGCCACCAAGTGGTTGCTGAGAATTGTACTCAGGACCTCTGGAAGAGAAGACAGTGCTCTTAACCACTGAGCCAAGGTCATTCTTGACTACATAGCTCACAAGCCAGTCTTGATTTTGTGAGACATTGTCTCAAGATAACAAAACACGTCCATTATGAAACTGGCTATAAAAAGTACTCTTAGAAGTTACAAACGAGAAGTGGTAAAGCGAAATTTACATCTTCAGAAAAAGATGTGCACTTGATTTTTAAGATAGATTCAACATCTGTGTGTGTGTGTGTGTGTGTGTGTGTGTTAAAATTCACCAGCAACTCTGTAGCAAAGATTGAAGAGGAGCTTGAGAAATGCCCCTTTCGATGCTGAGTAAAAGATATGAACTGAGCTGTCCATGGTGGCCCACACCTGTTAGGCCAACACTTAAGAAGTATGAAGGAGGATTGGGAGTTCTTATTGAACTTGAGGCTAGCCTAGGCTACATAAAACTTTGTCCCATGCCGGGCAGTGGTGACACACGCCTTTAACCCCAGCACTTGGGAGGCAGAGGCAGGTGGATTTCTGAGTTTTGAGGCCAGCCTGGTCTACAGAGTGAGTTCCAGGACAGCCAGGGCTACACAGAAACCCTGTCTCAAAAAACAAAAAAACAAAACAAAACAAAAAACAAACAAAACAAATAACCAACCAAATTAAAAAAAAACCCACCTTGTCCCAAACAAAACAAGGATATAAAATTGCAAGTGGACTTGTGGAATGTGTTATATGTGTATTTATGTTAAAATAAATAATCCATGCAAGGTGGGAGGCTGGGGAGATACTACTCTTCCAGAGGACCCCAGTTCATTTCTGTTAAACACCTACATCGGCTTACAACTTCCAGTAATTCCAGCTCCAGGAAATTTGGCCTCCCTGGGAGTGTGCTAGTACCCCAACCCCATCCCCAAACAAAATAAAACAACACAAACAGCAACAATAACAAAAACTTGGGAGGGGGTAACTGAGGTGACTCAGTGGCTTAAAGCATTTCCCACTCAGTCTGCTGACCTCAGTTCTATCCCCAGCACTCACAGGGCAGAAGAGAATTGGTCTATGCAAATTAGCCTCTGACCACAGCCTCACTGGGGTATGAATGCACTACCTCCCCACAGGAAAAAAAAATAAATGTCATAATGTTTTTTGAAAATAAAACACACATAATACTCTATATTACAAATAGTAGCCGGGCGGTGGTGGCGCACACCTTTAATCCCAGCACTTGGGAGGCAGAGGCAGGCGGATTTCTGAGTTCGAGACCAGTCTGGTCTACAGAGTGAGTTCCAGGACAGCCAGGGCTACACAGAGAAATCCTGTCTCAAAAAACCAAAAAACAAACAAAAAAACCCAAAAAAACAAATACTGATTATTTGGGGGTAGCGTAAATGTGGCTGACATTTTTATACTTTGCTCTACCTATCTGTTTTTCCTAATAAGCTTTTTTTTACAGTAACAAAAAAAAATAAAATATTAATGGAAAACCACGATTTACTAGGAGCCTTGCTTCAGAGTGCATATTCCAGAGCAAGTTCTGGAGAGATGGCTCAGAGGATAAGAGTGCTGTCTGCTCTTCCAGAGGTCCTGAGTTCAATCCCCAGCAACCACATGGTGGCCCATAACCATCTATAATGTGTGATCTGATGCCCTCTTCTGGCATGTAGGTGTGTATGCAGATAGAATACTCATTCATAAAATAAACAAATCTTCAAAACAAAACAAAGCAAAAAGTAGCTGGCACAGGCATGTCACTGTCCTGACAAGGATACCATATAGGTAAAAGTTCAGAGTAGAGAATGAAGTGGGGGTACACACAAGGCAGTGTGCTCTGGTTCAGCAGTCCCATGGTATGGATGTAAACTCTGCTTTTCTTTGCCTGTTTTGCTTTTCAGGACAGGGTTTCTCCGTGTAGCTGTGGCTGTCCTGGAACTCACTCTGTAGACCAGGCTGGCCTCAAATTCACAGAGATCAGCCTACTTCTGCCCCCTGAGTTCTAGTGCTGGGATTGAAATTGTTTTTGCTTGTTTTTCAGAAGTCTTGTATTCTGCCAGGTCATTTCAGCACCCAACTGCTTCACCATTAGCCTTCTTTGGCTGGAAGAGTAACTAGCTCCAGGAATAACTGGAGGCTCCAGACCAGACCTCAGGATAGCGGCCATACTGTCCAGATCTGAGCACCACTCTTCCTGTGCTATGGTATGTTAACAAATCCCTTCCTTTTCCTGTCCTTTCCTTCCCTTCCCTTCCCTTCCCTTCCCTTCCCTTCCCTTCCCTTCCCTTCCCTTCCCTTCCCTTAGGAGACAGTGCCTCACATATTCCAGGCTGGTCTGGAACCCACGAAGTAGTCAAGAGTTACCTTAAACCTCTGATTCTCTTGCCTTTACCTTCCAAGTACTGGGATGACAGACACATGACACCACACACCGCGGTGCTGAGGATGGAACTTGGGACTTCACGCCTGCTAAGTAAGCACTCTGCTTGCTGAGCTCCAGCCCCAGACAGCCTCGTTTCACTTAAGCCTGCTAGAGATAGTGACACATAATAGCCGTTTATAAAATGCCTTGTACAGTGTTAAAGCTTAATCAATGCTAGCCTGTCCACCTACCTCAATTCATTTACATTTGGATTTTTTTTTGAACAGGATTTTTCTTTATGTTATGCCTGTTATGCATGTATGTGCACCATGTGTGTGCCTGATGCCTGTAGAGGCCAGAAGAGGGTTTCAGATCTCCTGGACCTGGAGTTCCTGATGATTGTGAGCTGCCTTGTGGGTGCTGGGAACCTAGGTCTTCTGTAGGAGCAGCCAGTATTCTTAACCACTGAACCATCTCACCAGCCCCAGTGTTTGTCTTTGTAGCTCAGGATGGCCTGGAACCAGAGGACAAAGGATCTCCTGGGACTAGTTGACAAATGTTTGTGAACCACTTGGTGTGTGTACTAGGTCCCCTACAAGAACAGTAAGTGCTTTGAACCCCTGAGCCACCTCTCCAACCCCAAGGTAAAATTTTCAACACAAAGCTTTTCCTTTTTATTTTTATTTATTTATTTTTTTCGAGACAGGGTTTCTCTGTATAGCCCTGGCTGTCCTGGAACTCACTCTGTAGACCAGGCTAGCCTCAAACTCAGAAATCCGCCTGCCTCTCCCTCCCAAGTGCTGGGATTAAAGGCAAGTGCCACCACCGCCCGGCTACAAAACTTTTCCTAACCAGGTGTGATGGTGCATGCTTTTAATGCTAGCACTCAGGAGTCAGAAGCAAGTGAATCTCTGTGAGTTCTTGGCCAACCTGGTCTATATGGT